AAATGGGGTACACTTACTATAAAAATCGTACCGTTGGCATTCTTTGAACAATTTTATTTATTACTAGCTTATTTTGTTAAGAATGTGTGCCGCTTAAAACAACCATACCATACGAAATAATATTTTTTAAAATGCCAAAGTGGAAGAAACATTATAAATGGTATAAAACTTAAGCTTTGAGTCGCTATATCTTCGCTATATCTTAAACGACGCCTAACTAATGTATATATGTAAGCGCAAAATATAAATACAAAAAATTAAGGCAGGCTCACGTTTTCACATTCACTTTGCGTTTTACTTTTCAGCAAAAAGTCGCTCTGGGATCCACAAAACTCGATTTATTTACCCCCTGTACTGTTATGCGCTAAATTTACTGCTGTTATACCCACGCGCTAGTGCTAGCTCATAAAAAAATACCTCCGTTATGGTTAACAGAGATTATCGATAGCCAAATCGCGCTGCCACAGCTGTTCGGAGAAATTCACTATTTGTTGATGCCCTGACAAATTTTTACAGATCCAATTTTGAGGTTGTTTTTATTTTTTAATTACACTAGTCAACACGATTTTTTCTCAAGGAACAAAACGAACTTTTTCTTAAAGATTTGGGGCTTAGAAATGGTTTGATGATATTTTTTTTTTCTATGGCAGAACTTTTTTTTGAAGAATTTTTGAAAACTGGTATTGTTTTTTTAAGCTTTTTTCAGAGGTAGCGCTTGTTTTTTCACATAGCTAGTATCTAGTATCTTACGTCTGGTTGTAAAGAACGTTGCTATGTTGAAAAGATAATTAAAACAGCTAGAAGTTAAGCTCAAACACTTTGTGATTACAGCTTACCGTCTGGGAAATATAAAGCATTGAAATGCAAAAATGATGATTTTTCTGCGGTATTTTTTACGAAATTTTGACTTTAAAAACTCAGGAAAAGTCGATCCTGTATATCCTGTGTCCTCTATTTTTTTTTGTATAGGTGCATTATTTTGGCGTCGTTCAAGGTATCGCTCATTAAAATCTATGGAGAGACTTTGGAGCTAAAATTCGTTAATCAAACCTAAAAAATGAAAAAAATGAACAAAAAATACCTTTTCGATAGTTGCGGGCCCAACTGCCAATTGGGAACAAAGCAAACGAAAAAGGGTTGTACATTTGGTACCTGATCGCGATCCCAATTCCCAATGGGCAGTTGGGCTCGCAACCTTCCAAAAGGTATTTGTTGTTCATTTTTTCCATATTTTAGGTTAGGTTAGGTTGAGGCGGTTGTTGGGATCGCTAGGAACCCGACACACTTGGGCCGGTTACGGCCCGTTCTGATGCCGCGTGGATCATGTCCTCTTCCCTTGTGAGACACTATGTCAGCAGTTGTCCCATCCGGATACCCTTATGAAGTTTGTGATCCTTCTTGGACTCATATTAGACATGTCCGATATGTCGTTCATGAAAGGCATTCCCAGGTATTGTAGCCTCCTTCTACTGAGAGCCGGACAGGAGCAGAATAGGTGTTCCACCGTTTCTTCCTCGTCCTCATCTATACAGCTACGACAGAAGTCGTTGAAGGGTGCACCCATCCTGTTGGCATGGATGCCTATTAGCCAGTGTCCTGTAAGGGAGCGTATGACTGAGCTGCACCTTCTTCTGCTGAGCCTGCAGAGCTCAGTGGTGCGCTTCTTTGTGATATTAGGCCATGTTTGCCGAGTTATACGACATTGCGGTACAGTTTGCCACCTATTATCTGTTAGTAGCTTGAAGTGCTCTTTTATAATGTGCTTACAAGTGGCCATTGGCATACGAATGTCCTCCTTATCTTGGAGAAGGGGGATTGTAGTTCCAGTTCTGGCCAGCTCATCTGCTATGCAGTTGGCTTCAATGTCCTGGTGGCCAGGGACCCATATTAGGCTGATAACAAACTGATGAGCCATCTTGTGGATAGATTTGCGACAGTTTGCCTCGGTAGCCGAGCTCGATGTTATCGCATTTAGCGATTTGATCGCAGCTTGGTTGTCACTATAGATGTTTAAATGAGTTGCCGTAGTGGCAATTTCACAAAGACACCACAAAGCTTCGTTAATCGCTATGACTTCCGCTTGGAAGACACTGCAGTGATCTGGAAGCCTGAAAGAGTGTCTTATTTTTGGCTGTTCGGAGTAGTATCTATTCGGAAAGTATCTATGCACTCCCTGGGAACACAGTAGTCCGTTTTTGTTGGGACGATCTCGTTTCCATTTAGGATAGATGCGTGACCAGTGTGCTGTGACACCCATTGGTCGGAGTCTCTCAGACGAATTGCTGCCATTTCTGCCTGCTCCCTGCCTGCAAGGTCTAGGCTCTGGAGGCATAGGATGGCATTTAGCGCGTCATTTGGTATGGTGCGTAGGGCTCCGCTGATGCATACTCCGTAGAGTAGTATTGGCCTAACAATTGCTAGGTATATCCATTGGACTATGCTTGGGTTCATGCCCCATTTCAATCCAATGGCCTTTTTGCAAGTGTAGAGGGCTATCGTGGCCTTCTTCACTCTGTCTTTGATATTCAGGTTCCAACATAGCTTTTTGTCAATTACCAACCCTAAGTATCTGGCATTGTCGCTGAAGGGGTGACAGGACACCACCTTGCGGGGTGCCTCTGTTGACATACCTCGACTGAGTGGACGATCCCATTGATGAAGTCACCGTCCTGCATGTAAGCAATTGATCAATGAGCATCACCATGTGACGATCCACCCCCAGGTCAGTCAGGGCCTCCGTGATGGCCTCTAGAAAATCTAGGATATCTAGGAAAGCTATTAAGGAGTATTCTTTGACGTGTAGGGATTTCTCTACCGTCGAGACTACTTCATGGAGTGCCGTTTCCGTGGATTTTCTTTTCAGGTAGGCATGTTGTGCGCCTGACATTACTGAGGATTTATGGTTGTTCTCAGATATAGCCCGACTAGTGTCTCAAAAGTTTTGAGAAGAAAGGACGATAGACTGATTGGTCTGAAGTCCTTTGGGGTTGAGTGTGAGGCTTTCCCTGATTTGGGGATAAAGACTATTTTAGCCTTAAGCCAGGCGTGAGGAATTTTTCCCACTACCAGTATCTTCCTGAAGATGCATTGCAACCAGTTAATGGCTATGTCTCCGGCTTTTTGTAATTGAGCCGGAATGACCTGGTCGGGACCAGGTGATTTGAAGGAACTAAAGCTATTTATTGCCCAGCTGATGTTTATTTTTGTGAGGATGTGCGCCATCGATGTTTCCGGGCCATCAGTGGGGGGGTCTGCCAGCTCGATGGTTGTGCACTAGGCTGGGCCAAAAAATATTGTTTTCGAAATTCAAACGGGACACCCCCTAGTTTTTTTACCTTGGATTTTATAGTTATTTACATGATATTATTTTTTTATTTTTATTTTTAGAGGTTGCTACCGAGTTTTAATCAAGAAAATTCAAAAAAAAATTAGTTGCTGAATGAGTTGGATAACACTACTCGACAAAACCGAACTTTTTTTTTCCTCAAGGATCCAAACCGACTTTTTCTGATAGATATGGGGCTTTAAAATTTTTTAAAGAATTATGGTTTTTTTTTTATGGCAGAACTTTTTTTTGAAGAATTTTTGAAGTCTGGTATTTTTTTTTAAGCTTTTTTCAGAGGTAGCGCTTGTTTTTTTCACATAACTCTAGTATCTTTCATCTGGTTATTAAGAACTTTGCTATTTTGAAAAGGTAATTAAAACAGCTAGCAAAACAAAGCAAACGAAAAAGGGTTGTACATTTGGTACCTGATCGCAATCCCAATTCCCAATGGGCAGTTGGGCTCGCAACCTTCCAAAAGGTATTTTTTGTTCATTTTTTCCATATTTTAGGTTTAGTTAACGAATTTTAGCTCCAAAGTCTCTCCATAGATTTTAATGAGCAATACCTTGAACGCACCTAATGCACCTATGCAAAAAAAATAGAGGACACAGGATATACAGGATCGACTTTTCCTGAGTTTTTAAAGTCAAAATTTCGTAAAAAATACCGCAGAAAAATCATCATTTTTGCATTTCAATGCTTTATATTTCCCAGACGGTAAGCTGTAATCACAAAGTGTTTGGGCTTAACTTCTAGCTGTTTTAATTATCTTTTCAAAATGGCAAAGTTTTTTACAATTAGACGTAAGATACTAGAGCTATGTGAAAAAGAAGCGCTACCTCTGAAAAAAGCTTAAAAAAAAATACCAGACTTCAAAAATTCTTCAAAAAAAAGTTCTGCCATAGAAATAAACCATAATTCTTTAAAAAAATTTAAATCCCCATATCTATCAGAAAAAGTCGGTTTGGATCCTTGAGGAAAAAAAAAGTTCGATTTTTTCGAGTAGTGTTATTTATAAAAGGACACAAGCTCAATTGCTCTATTAATGATGTCAAATTCATGTCAATACATCAATACGTCATCTATTTTTTTCCTTTTGCAATTTTGTTGTATAAAAAGCCGTTTACTTTTCATATGTTGTCTGACTTGTCTTTTTGAAAAGTTAATCACATTTTTTTTGTGAATGTAAAAACCGTGGGGCAACGCCGGCTAGCTCTCGACCCCAGGGATGGGTAGTTCCCCTTGCCCGCCAAATGTAAGCAAAGTTTGAGATTTCGACTTCTCGGGACATCAATTCAGACAAAAAAACTACAATAGACTGCAAGACAAACAAAAAGAACCAAACAAATAGACGGCTGTCAAGTGGGTGAAGTCTAGGTGCCCACCCTACCTGTGGTCAAATACAACGTTCATTTTGGCCACCCTCTGCTGGAACGGCTGCGGCTGGTCTAATCCATGGCTTATGCCACGCGTCCTCCCTCTAAATTAATTTAGGCCTTCATCCTTTCAATATTCCTTAGTTTAATATATAATATAAAATGACAAATACATCTCCTAACTATAATTTTTCTTCCTAGATAATAAACAATGATAATTTAAATAAATAACATAACAAAAAAAAATACCAACTCACTTAACGACAACACTCAAATAAATACCAACTGGATTAGGAGAATATACCTATGTGCGTAATGGGAGTTTTTATGCAGAATTAAATTGGGAAATGATTTAAATTTCTTTGGGCCCTCCCGAGACTAACCTACCAAGAGCTCTTGGTAAGGGTCATAGGGGCAGATAAAAACAAGGCCATCGACAACAAAAATGACCAAACAATATTTCACCAAAACGGTGGGCTTGTGGGACCCCGCGCCGCGCACAAGGGTTAATCCTACCATATGTTTTGTTTTGTGTCTATGTCGGGCAATGTTTGGCGTTTACAAAAGTGTTTGTTTACGTTAGGGTTTGCTTAAATTACTAATAAATAACAATTAACACATATAATAGGGACAACACGATGGACAATACGAATACTGTCGGGCACATATGTGTCCGTAGCAGCTAGCGAGGAGTGTGAGGAACAATTCCCAAAAAAAACATATATTACCTGTGGGCGATCGTCGGTCTGCCAATATGTAGGTGCAAAAGTGAGTGTAAACGTGAGTGTAAATCCTTAGGTGATCGTAGAGGTGGCTCCGGCAGAGTCCAACGGCTCGGACTACGTGTACCACTGCGTCTGCGGCACCGTCCTTGGTCACTCTGCGCGGATCGTTCGTTTGACCTGGTTAGGCATGCACCGCTCACAAATCTCGTCTTCATACACGGCACAAAATAACAGGCACGGAACGGACTCACAATTTGGTTTCGACGGTCGGCTCATCTGGCACATCCTCTCCAGAAATTATCTCCCTTGAGCAAAATCACTGACCCGGCTGCGCTGGGCAATCTTCCGGGCCAGGCTATGGGAAATGCATCACGGATTACATTTTATTTAAATTCGAATTTTCACCACTCACTTTCACTATGTTCCGCCACTAACCATACAGTATATAGATGTGCCAGTTCATACAACGAAAGGGGCGCAAGCTGAGTGTTCTGTCCCGGCTCCCAGCGCTTCGGCTCTGTGAGGCTGAGACACTCGGGTCGGGAGCCAGGCCATTCGGGTCGGGAGCTGGGCCGTTCGGCATGTATGACTCATGTCGAGAAGCGAAAGCAAGCTGAGAATTTCAAATGTATGTGTGTAAACAGACACGACAAAATTTTGTATCAATTCTTATTTTCCGAAACCGTTTTGAGTTTGTTTTGAGTTTCGTTTCCAGGTTACGTAAATGTGTGTGTGCCATGTATTCACACATACTGTGCTTGTGTGTGGGCTCTACAATTGTTGGCCGCTTGAATTGGTTTTTCGCCCTCCTTTATTTTGTATTTTTCTCAGTGGCTATTATATTTTTTATTCATTATTTGGAGTTTTGTTTTTTCAACAAAATTTTTCTGTTATTTCTAGGAGGGCCCTAGGCAACTGCTAATCCGGCCCTGGACCTATTCCCGTCGTCAGACTTCATATTTTATTGGTGTATTCTGTCGCTCGACTCGACGCGGGCAGAGGCATTTACGAAGCCAAAAGCAGAGGCAAAGGCTAGCCTAAAAGAGAATGGAAGAAATACCCCGCGCGCCCGTCGCAACATCAGCTTTTCAAAACAAAACGAAAAAATATTTTATGAACGGCTTCGTCAATGCCTCGACCCGACCCGCGTCGAGTCGAGCGACAGAACACACCAAGAAAATATGAAGTCTTACGACGGGAATAGGTCCAGGGCCGGATTAGCAGTTGCCTAGGGCCCTCCTAGAAATAAAAAAAAATTTTGTTGAAAAGACAAAACTCCAAATATTGAATACAAATATAATTTATATAATACAATATAATATAATATATTTTTTATTATAATAATATAATAGTAATATAATGGTTGCCCAGGGCCCGGTTCAGGGTTGATCCGGCCCTGAATAGGTCGCTACATCACATCAGCCCTCAAAACAAAACGACAAACCAATTCAAGCGGCCAACAATTGTAGAGCCCACACACAAGCACAGTATGTGTGAATACATGGCACACACACATTTACGTAACCTGGAAACGAAACTCAAAACTCAAAACGGTTTCGGAAAATAAGAATTGATACAAAATTTTGTCGTGTCTGTTTACACACATACATTTGAAATTCTCAGCTTGCTTTCGCTTCTCGACATGAATCAAACATGCCAAACCCGAAATGCCCGAACCCGACTCCAGGCCCAGCGCTGGAGCCCGAACACTCAGCGCGCCCTTCAGAACTGGCACATCTAAACGTTGGTCCAGCACCCAGCCAATCGGATTTAACCCCACTCGGCCTCGATTCTGGCTCTCCTAATACACTTGTGCATCCGCTTCGGATGACCAGCAATTATTCTGTCCACGTTTTGGATTTTTTCACTCCTATTTAATCCCCTCCGGCCGCCCCAAACACCTACTAACCACCCCTCTCAGTAACGGAACTCGCTCTCACCGATACTGTCCTACCATAGTCTCCTTGGAAAACCGATAGTGGCGCTTGGACTCAGCCCTGGACAATCTATCGCTGAGGTGGGACTGGAACAATATTTCCCAGACCATAATCTGAAGATACAAAGTGTTCGGGTCTGCTTTACACCTGAACTTATTAGCTTCTCAGAATGGCAGAGTTTATTAAAATCAGATGTAAGATACTCAAGTTATGTGAAAAAAGCGCTACCTCTAAAAAAAACCATAAAATAAAACAAATTAAAAAAACTTAAACTTAAATCTATCAGAAAAAGTCGGGTTGGGTCTTGAGTAACAAAAAAGTTCGATTTTGTCGTGTAGTGTTATCAGAATAAAACAGAATCTTCTGCTGATCGTATTGATAATTTATATTATTTTCCACCTTCTTCCAATCAACATACTTGTAACATACCGAGCTAGTACCGAGCTCCGCCAATATATACGTTCTTTCAAGAATCTGCAAACAATAAAGGATCAGCTCTTGGAAAATACAAGCATAAGGTCAGTTCTTACTAACACTGACTCTCCCACTGAACGAGCTGTGGAAAAAACAACTTTATATTTTTGTCGAAATCCATCATCTCAAAAACACTCAAACTTGGCTCACGTGAGGAATGGAGACGAGGAAAGAGCTCGAAATAACAATTCTCACTCAGCGTGTGAAGACAAAACCAATTGCACTTTGCATTAGAGGTAACAATAGACAGCTGTTCAACGATTATTACCGATATCGGAAAAGCTTGTCACAAATTGTCACCAGAGGGCGCTCGCTTACCACACCAGATCCGTTGATCGGCAAAGCAGTATCGGTGTTACAACTTTCAAGCAGTTTTTCCGTTACAAGTTTAAATGCCGCCAGTTACGAGTGTGTGAAAACACCGACACTGACCTCAAATCAGCACAAAAAGCTGATTCTCTGTCGCCAAGCCTTCTGCAACTATTGGACAAACGCCTAAAGGAACAGACGGATCTCATTGCAATAAAAATGGAATAGTGCGAAAATCGGCTATGTGATTTGTTAGCCGAAAAAAAAGCACTCTAAATGGGCAAATAAAGAAGCAGCTTAGCGACCGGGTGGAGTTCCTTGAAAAGGAGTTGGGCGTGGCTCCCTGTTCTTACGTTGTTGAATTTTACTTCATTTAAACATTTAAAATGGGTGATTCCAGAGAAAGCATAAGCCCTAATACTCATTGTTTGTTAAGAACTCTGGTGAAGCAAAGAGCTGGCCTAAAAACTTGCCATATTAATGCACAAAGCCTGCCAAAGAAAATGGAAAAGTTCAGATACTGATTTACTGTTACTGATACTGTTTACTGATTCTAAGATAGATGTTATTTGTGAGTCTGAAACTTGGTTTGTCTCTGAATGTAGTGACTTGTTGATTGCATGTAGTGGTTAAAATGTGTTTCGTTCAGATCCAATGCCAAAGGAACACGTTCAGGTACCAAAAATTCAACCCCTTTTCGTTTGCTTTGTTTCCAATTGGCAGTTGGGCCCGCAACCTTCCAAAAAGTATTTTTTGTCTATTTTTTCACTTTTGAGGTTTGGTTAACGAATTTTAGCTCCACCGTTTATCCATAGATTATAATGAACAATACCTTAAACGACGCCTAATTAATGCGTCTATCTATAGCTGCATTTGCCACCTTTTAGAACTGCTAAGCAACCAGATATAAGATACTTAAGTTATGTGAAAAATAGAAGCACTACCTCTGAAAAAATACATTATAAAAATACTAGATTTTAAAAAATTCTTTAAAAAAAACTAAACCATAAAAAACGTGAAGGAACGTGTGAGTCGCTTCTGGGGACGCGACTCTACTTATACCCATACTCAGTCAGTATATTAATTTTTGAGCTTATGATTTTTTAGAATTTTGTGAGGGTTAAAAAAAAATTTTTATCTGCTCGCGCACTGAACGCGGCAGAGTGTGCGAGCGAGAAAGAATTCTCTTAGCGTGTCTCTGGCTGGGGAGGCGGTGGAAGCTGAACTGAAAATTAAATTTCTTCATTTTGGCTATAATTATGATCCGATCTAATTCAGACTCTGGTAGATATGGGCATTCTCTATGATACTGCGTTTTCAGTTTTATCGTATCTTTAAAATTGTGTCTGCCACAGATTTTCGTCATTTGTGGTGGCGGAAGGGGCGGGGCGAAATTTTGAAATACACTTGTAGCAGTGTGATATCACATGAGCCTGGAAACCAAATTTGAGAGATCTGGGATCTCTGAGATCTAGGCGCTCATCGAGACAGACAGACAGACTGACAGACGGACGGACAGATAGGCATGGCTTTATCGACTCGACTATTGATGCTGATCAAGAATATATATACTTTATAGGGTCGGAAACGTTTCCATCTCTGCGATGCACATATCCACTTTTACCACAATATTGTATATTGTAACCCCTTAACTCATTTTTGAGTACGGGTATAAAAAGAGTTTGGTTTGACCGACGCGTCGATTGCGACGTCGACTTCATATTCTGCTCGTCTGCCGCAGCGACAGAGAAAAAAATCCTGAATGACGCGTAGTTGACATTTGGTCATTGCTCACTTCTGGTACTGCAGAGTGGCACAATATGAGTTTTAAAACTAAATTTGGTTGCTTTAGCAACACCAAGATGCCGCATGAGCGACCAAAAAGCTGTTCTATGGCGAGGCTTAGCGGTGCCCCATGGACAGGGGGGTTTCAATTCTCTTCTCGGCTATGCCGACAGCGTTGCTGCCCGACGGCTTCGTCTGTTTGTAAGAAACGAGTCGAGCGAGCTCGAGACAGCTCAGCAGATGCGCACAGTGAGCCCAGCTTGATAAATTATAAATTAAAAAGAGTTCAAAACATTTTTGTACATTTCATTTTCAACATTTTCAACTTGAGTGCTCATATCTCCTAAACTAAAATTATCTTGCAAATTAGATTCGCTAAGATTCTGGAAATTTTAAATTTTTTTTCAAGTGGACACCCTCTTATTCTGTTCTTTGTTAGAAAATAAAATTATACAATTTTTTTCAAATTTTTAGTTTAATGTTTGGGGTTGCTACCACGAAAAGAAAGTACAGTTTTTTGGTTAAATATACATTAGAAACTAAATTTAATTCGTCGGTTTTTTTAAATAATATTGAAACTTAGAAAATAGTTCATATTGATAAGGTATTTTTATTTTTTTTTGTTTCTGTTAAAAAATTAACGATTGCTGAAAATCAAGAAGCTTAGCTGAGTTTTATATATTTAGTTAACTAGTTCGCAAAAATTTGTGCAGGTTTTTACGGCCAGTAACTGATTTATGACGATATGAATGGTATCAATATTGGATAATGTGGTGAAATCAATTGCATATTGATTTCACCACATTATCCAATTCATTCAGCAAAACAAATTAAAAAAATTTTTTTTGTTTCAATAATTTTGTAAACATTGGTAGCAACCTCTAAAATATTTGTTTATACAAAAATAAAAACTTTAATATTACTATCAAACCCAAGATAACAAAATTAACGGGTGTCCTGTTTAAATTAAAAAAAAATTGTTTGACTCAACTTAGTGTACAATTTATTTTATTCAAAGCGTTCATAAAATATTTATTAATTTTGGCACCTCTTTTCGGCTGAGTCCCCACTGTATATGTACACAATACAAACAAATAACAACTTTAAAACCAAACTCGACCTATTCAGGATCAACCCTCAACCGGGCCCTGGGCAACCATCAATCTGGGGGCCCTTCTTTTTTTTCACGACAGCTCCCTTCTTTTTTCATTTTAAATAAAAACTTATAATTTTATGTTTGTTTGATTATTTTGTATGTTTTTCAGTGGCTATTATATTTTTTATTCATTATTTGGAGTTTTGTTTTTTCAACAAATTTTTCTGTTAGCCCTAGGGGGCCCTAGGCAACTGCTAATCTGGCCCTGGACCTATTCCCGTCGTCAGACTTCATATTTTGTTTCTTTTATTTTATTTCTGTCTTTCGACTCAACGAGGGCCGGGACATTGACGAAGCCGAAAGCAGAGTCAAAGGCTAGCCTAAAGGAGAATCGAAGAAATACCCCGCGCGCCCGTACCATGAAGCGTCAAACGAAAATTGAACGAGCATTTGCTCCTCATGCAACATCTTCGTATTGAATAGTGTTTGACATTATCGGAAGCACTATTTTGAATGTCAAATTAAGTGAACATTTTTTGCTATCAGCAATTCCAATTGTTCCAATAGACGTTCCAATTAATATCAAACTTTCTATTAGATTGACTTTACAAATGACAATAACAAGGCCAAGCCGAAGTCTGTTTCCGGCTGGGATTTGGGCTTATTTACGTTGGCTACACTTCATTGCTTTTTGAAATGACAGAACAACGTTGGACGGGTCAGCTTGTATTTTGAATTTTTGTTTAATTTTATCATTTTATCAAAAAGATCTCTTTTTATTTAATATAACGTATTTATTTGTATGCTTTTAAATGGATGTCGCTTTTGTATACATTTTGTCCAGTTATATTGTAATTTATCTAATAGCAATTTGCAGTTGAAGTCGAGCAATCTCTTTGCCGTTCTTATATGTGTAGAGACTGGATTCAGCTGTCCTATCGCTTGGAATACATCCCATCTTGCTGTCTAGTGATGGTTTCAAGACTTTGCCAAGTTCTTCATTAAATGCTAATTACAGCTCAAAAAAAAAAGTGACAGTACAGTTTATAATTTACACTTGTGTAATTCGTTTATACTCATATTATTAATTATATTAATATTACACACAGGTTCTGTAGTAACTTCTCTGTGTACTTTTCGTTAGTTTTTGTGGTCTATACAGCCCCGACTACGCAGCACTTATAAATTTATAGGAAAGTATTTTAAGACTTTATCTTTTCATCCAACTCCAGCAACTTTGTTCCGTCAAAAAATATGCACATCTGCCTGTCTAATCAATTTCAGTGTAATTCGAAATACGAATGTAATGTAATTGCTTTAGGTCTAGGTCATGCTGTGATGCTTTTTATATATTAAATGCGTCCCAAAAACGAAATATAAAGAAAAACAGTATATGTAGTCAATTCAATAAAAAAAAAAAACATTAGAAATACCCCCTACACCCAGACTGACGGCATATTCGTGTGTCTGTATTAATCACCGGTGGTTTCGGCTCAAACAAGATGTCTCAGCTTGAGTGCAGATTGAGGCGGCTGCACAACAGTTGGCTATATATGTATGTATCGGTATATATTTAAATGTATATATATATCTTATGTGAACACAGCACCGAGCTCCGTAGGTCCTTTAGTTCTCGACGAATTCCACGCTGGCGCAGAGTGCTACTTTTTTGGCTGGGGGCTGTTCGGCAGACGTCTGTGGACAGATACAAGAAAGACAGTAGTGATAACAAATGTTTTTACTGAATCGGCATTGGATTAGACCTACCACGGTGGAGATGTCGCGCTTGGCAATGGTCACCCCTGTGACCGAATTTGCTCCAGCAGCATCTGCTGTTGAACTGTGATTGGGTGCGGATAACTCTTCGCTGTCGGGCTCTTTCTGTTCAACCGATATGAGCGCGGGTGGAGTGTTAACGCTCGATAGTGACGAGGATGAGACGGCAACACCGGTATTGGTGCTGCTGGTGACCATATCGCTACTCGAGTTAGTGCCGGTATCAGACTCATCCATAATGGTGATTGTAGCAGACTTGTTGCCGGTACTTACGGCAACGAGGCTACTGTTTGAATTAACAACCGCGGCGTGCATTGCAATGGCAGTGATAACTGCTGTATTACTGCTGTCGCTTTTTACTGGAGCTGTTCCCAGTTCGGGCTTCTCCATTTTAGCCTGTAACTCCTGATCAGGGTTAAGTCCGTTGTTGCTGGCATCGGTAAACGGATTGATGACTGAACCTGAATTGGGTGTTGCTGCTGATCCCTCATGTTCGTTCCCATCTTCAGCACCGGACTCTTCAGACTTTCCAGCCTCATACTCCTTAACGATCTGGTCGAGATTGTATCGGCGCCGATTATTCAAGTAGAAGGTTCGGGCATGCGCTTCCGTCTTGGTGGGCACTAGCTTCGCTATCATCTGGAGTTTCAAGGAGGGCATATCCAGATAATTGTTTCGGACTTTTCGTGAATAAAAGAAGTTATACTCACCGGATAGTTCTTTCCATAGTCGCGCAAGACCAGGAGCGCCACCTTGATCTCATCCGGAGTCCAACGAGCCGACGTGCGCGGCTGCGCAGTGGGCGCTTCCGAAATCGCTATCGTTGGCTTAGATACAACATCCTCAACATTGATGGCATCGCATTCTTTATCCAACAGCTCCATAAGCTGTCTATTTTTTTGTATCTGCAATGGGTCAGGGTGCAGGGGGCATTCAATTGAAAATTGTCATTGTGTCTAAGGGTACAATTGGGTCAGGTAAACGTGTAAATATATATGTGAGTATACATATATATGTGCGTATTGGTGAATGTGAAAGCAGTGATATGAAAATCTCTGATCTCAATCAGCCGCATTCTTATATGATGACCTTGGATTACGAGCTGTTTTAAGCGTTAAGACAATTAACTCTGGAAAGGAATTGCAATTGGAATGCACTCGCACGTTTGATGTACATTAATGTACAAAGTAGACAATACTCCGAATAAAGAATTTAGGCCACTTTTAATATACGATGATGTTTATATTATTAATATCATTATATCATTATTGTGCGCAATGTAAAAATCCTTTGCTACTTTCCGAGAAGATTCTTGTATATTATATTATCAAATGGAGCTAACTAAAGCAAATTATATCGGTCTAGTCAACAACGGTAAAAAAAATTGTCTGCTATTTTCATTGTTCCTACTTTAGCTTAGGTTAAAAGACTTTCTATATTTAGATAATATATTAAATTATATGTGGGAAAACCTTTTTTAAATGGTTAGCTTTGTCAAGGTCACAAAAATTTAATTTTAATTAGGTCGGAACATAGTTTTTTATCAAAAGGTGTGTTAGAAAGCACCAGGTGTCATGGATGGAAAAGGAAGAGCTTATCACATTTCTTACTTCAGCCATTAATGCGTTGATCTTTCGATCACGTTCGGCTAAATACACGCTGGGGTTCCTGCAGGTTGCGAGGGCAGTGAGATCGTCATGATTGATATACATGCCCTTGGGTGGTTTTCGTTTGGAGCGATCGGCAGCCACAGTCGCGGCGCTGTTGTGATTAGAACGTCTGGGTGCATTGCTCTCAGGACCGGAGATTGGACGAAGATTTCCGGTACGTCTATCATAGGGTCAAGTAAAAGAATTGGACCGTGAAAGATTCGGGAACGACACGATTCATGTGTAAGTGTGTATGTGGGACGAGGAGCATTGTTGTGGCACAAACAATATTCAATTGAATGCAATATTTTTAGAGGAGAAGGGAGAAGAGAGAGAGATAAAAAACTTAGCATTATCTTGATGGTTTGTACAACTTATAGCGGATATTATATATACATATATAGTACAGTATATGTTATCCATAGCATAATATCTACCTCCAATGCGTATGACAACTTTTACACATGCGCCCCAATGGCGAATCGTATAGAACATGGCAAACCACATTGCACGTCTTACAAAAACCGCCCACAACCACTCGTCGCGGCGAATTGTCGTCGGTGTTGATATCGCCGCCAATGTTGCCGTTTCCATTGTTGCTGTTGGTGCCATTGGCTGCAGCTTCGGTTGACAGACCATAGCCTAGCATATCATCGCTGAGCGCGTTCGAAGTGTAGATGCACAATTGATCCGCGTCCAAGTCATTGCTGTTGTTGCTGCTGTTGCTTCCTCCATTATTGTTGTCGCAATTATTGTTGCTGATGCAGCTGCTGCTAGTACTATTACTGTTGTTGGTTGTACCATTGTTATTATGGCCCTTCTGTTGGCGCACAGACCAGGCAAAGATTTGATTCATGTCAGATTTGATGCAACGCATTCACAGTGCAGTAGCAACGATTTTTTAAATTGTTTGTTGAAATTCAAATTCGAGACCGGATAATTTAATGGGTACCACACGTTATGCTCAATAATTTCGACGATTTTTTTTTTATTTTGGTTGTATGTTTCGGACAATTTTGAGTTGAGTTTGTATTGTGAGGTGTTTAGTGTGTCGGATTTATTGACAGTAAATGCAAAGAGAAGAGAAAAAACGTATTTGGTTGTTGCTTTAGTTCAGTTGGTAACACTTAACAAGTACAAGATTGTAATTGAATTGTTTGTTGTAGGCTGATTGCTTGATTGGTTGGTTTGTATCTTGTTTCTTGATTGGCAGTCCAAACGGTGCTGCGGTGTCCCGGCTTTTCATGCTTTCCCTACCCAAACCCTTCCAAAAAAGATCTCTTCCTACATGTGATTCTTGTTCCACAGTCCACAATCTCCAGATGATTTTTCCAAATAATTGAGAATAAGGTGCACTAATTGTGCTGATTTTCCGAAAGCAAAGCTCGTGTATGCATTGATGTGTGTTTGTGTGTGTGTACCAATACATGATTGTGTATCTTTCTCTCTCTCTCTTTCTCTCTCTCTTCAGGTTTCTCTCTGTGAATGGGGGGGGAGGGGCAGGGTCGGCTTGAATACTGTCTTTTACTTAAGAGTAGAAAATTCAAATTTCCACCTTGTTAAATAGAATTAAATTTGAGTACATACTACGCAACATTATACCGAGTAGCGAGAAATGTTTTGACAGTGGATTAATCAGGGAATACAATGGCGCATACATTATGACAAATATCAATACAAATTTGTTGTTCTACATAAATGTATGTATGTATTTTCATATCCATGTTCATATGCATAACATATATGTCTGGGTGGTTCATTGCGAAAGTGTAAAATTGAAAATCAAACAGATATGGAGGAAATAATAACGAATCTCCATAAATAGGAACCAAAAGGTTTCAATTTTCGTTTCGACTTTCTAAAAACAAGAACTTTAAGAAAAATATAACCTAAAAAGGATAGCATTAGGTGTGGTGATCCACAGGTATTGTGATCTGCATTTTTTGCGAGCGTTGAGTATTTTGCCTGAATTTCTATATCTGTCAATGTATTTATGTATATAAATATAGACATACTATACACATGTACATATGTACTATATACATTAGGGTTTGGCTTAAATAAAGAAATTTAATTTTCAATGGTCTTAGAATGTTCTTTTTGGTTTACAGAAAATAGCTGCAAAGCTATAGCCTGATCCGACAAGGTTTAGAGCTGCAGAATTTACCTAAAAGTGGAAAAATACATTTTTTCCGAAGGCGGAGTAGGAGCTTAGGAGTTTTTATTATTTAATGGATATTATCTAGACTCTAGAGCAGTGGTCGGCAAGCACACATTCACATTTTTACAGCACGCATTCCAAAACACATTGTTCCAACCACGGTAATGTACATGACCGGCAGCGCAGTAGCAGCGCCTTTTTGTATACCCATTGTATAGGGCTGTGCCAAGCCCTCCTCTAGAGTATACCTTTGGGACGTGCAATAACTTCTGAAATTACTCCTGTTCTACTTTCAGCTGTCTGTACCTCTAAACATTGTCATGTCGGGCTATAAATTGTATGTTGTGTTATACCAGTGGTCGGCACGCACATATTCACATTTTATGCAATGCGTTTGTGTGCATATACAGCAAGAAAAACGGAACATTGTGTTGGTGCCAACCACAGTTAATGCACTTGTACATGAGCGGCAGCGCAGATGCAGCGCCTTTTTTTATGCACAACTGATAGGGGCGTGCCGACCCCGGTTTTACAACAAGAGGAACAATTTTAGACCCTGAGAACTTAGATTAAAACCAATTTTCGTTCGTTCAAATAATTGGGCCGAACTCTTATGTACATAACATATTTATAAATACTTTTAAAAATAGATATTTATGTACATATGTACATACATATATGTACATACATAATACAACGAGAAGGAATGTGCGAGTCGCTTCTGGGGACGCGACTCTACTTACAGTCATGTGATTAATAATAAGGACACTTGGCCATGCTTCAGAAAATGCTCTATAAAATGACTATTTTCTGGAATTTTGCGGTGATCTTAATTTTTATTAGTAGATTTATGTTTGCACTCCATAAAAAAAGGTAAAAAACCCAAGTATAATGGTGAAAAAAATAATACAAAATTTTGATCGGTACGTCATCGACTTTTGGCTGTGCGAAATAATAGGGACACCGAAATAAAACATGTTATATTTCGTAAAAACAGCATTTTTCTAAGACGTGTTTGGTCTTAAACTAATGATTGTAATTAGTTTTAGTAATTTTAGATATAAAAACATCCATAAAATGAAGTTTAGATATTAGAGATGGGAAGGGACTTGCTTAGAAGTACCCAGATACCCATGGACATGAAAAAGTCCACAAAATGGATTTTCGTAACGGAATATTTGCCGAAACATTGACGTTTTCCAAGAAAAATAATGATAATGCAATAAAACATACTATTTAGGAGGAAACACTGGAAAAAAAATCAAAAATATTCCGAATTCTGGAGAAAAATGTGATGAGATTCGTGAGGCAAGACACATTTAAAAATTCTTATAATTAAAAAAAAAATAATCTATGGAGGCAAACCCTTCTAGAATATGAATAATACTTGAAGCTAACAATCTAAAGTCCAAGAGACCCCAAAGAGTTCCGTGTCTATTGAATAGGGATATACCAAAGATGGTGATGGTCGCTGCGGACCATGAACCATAATTTTAGTTTCCATGTTTCCTCTTAAATAGTATGTATTATTGCATTATCATTAATTTCCTGGGAAAACGTCAATGTTTCGGCAAATATTCCGGTACGAAAATCCATTTTTGTGGACTTCCATGTCCATGTGGACTTTCATGTCCATAGGTATCCTGGGTACTTCTAAGCAAGTTCCTTCCCATCCCTAATATCTAAACTTTGTTTTATGGATGTGTTTATATCTAAAATTACTAAAACTAATTACAATCAATAGTTTAAGACCAAACCACCTCTTAGAAAGACGCTGTTTTTACAAAATATAACATGTTTTATTTCGGTGTCCCTATTATTTCGCACAGCCAAAAGTCGATGAAGTACCGATCAAAATTTTGTATTATTTTTTTCACCATTATACTTGGGTTTTCTACTTTTTGTTTATGGAGTCCAAACATAAATCTACTAATAAAAATTAAGATCACCGCAAAATTCCAGAAAATAGTCATTTTATAGAGTATTTTCTGAAGCATGGCCAAGTGTCCTTATTATTAACCACATGGCGGTATACCCGTACTCAGTCAGTATATACATTTTTGAGCATATGATTTTTTAGAATTTTAGAATTACAAAATAAAAATTTTACATTTTACATTTTTTTGCTACATCTGTTATCTACATCTACATATATTATGTATATTCTACATCTAACATGTAGATTATAGATGTACCATTTAGATTCTACATATCCTCCGCCAGGGGTTGCTCGCGCACTGAACGCGGCAGAGTGTGCGAGCGAGAAGAAAAATGAGTTGTGTGGTCGTTGGCAGGAGGGGGCAGGGGAAGCAACTGAAAATTAATTTCTTCATTCTGGCTATAATTATGATCCGATCTGATTCAGATTCGGCAGTCTGGTAGATATGGTCATTCTCTACGATACTGCGTTTTTAATTTTAGCGTATCTTTAAAATTGTGCCTGCCACAGATTTTCGTCCCTTGTGGTGGCGGAAGGGGGCGGCGCGAAATTTTTAAATACACTTGTAGCAGTGTGATATCACATGAGTCTGGAAAATTTGGTTGCCATAGCTCTTATAGTCTCTGAGATCTAGGCGCTCAACAAGATGGACAGACAGACAGACAGACGGACAGACAGACATGGCTATATCGACTCGGATATTGATGCTGATCAAGAATATATATACTTTATGGGGTCGGAAACGTTTCCTTCTCTGCGTTGCACACATCCACTTTTACCACAAATCTAATATACCCCTTAACTCTTTTTTGAGTACGGGTATAAAAATAAAGAGACATACATAAGTACATATGTAAATACATATGGGCATTTCTCTGACGAGGTCCTCCGAGACCACATAATTAAATGTCTATAAAAATGTATTGAACGAAAACTTAATAACACAATAGACATATAATTTCATTAACTTTCATGTAAAAAACTATAAAACCTAGCCATGTTTTCTATTACTATGATCTCTTATAAAAATATGATTCTTGAGAAAAGTTATTCCACATAATCTTTCTAACATATTTAACTATCTAACAAAAAATATGAGAAAAATGGTTCAATCTCGACTAGCGGTTAATTTTTAACTGTTATTAGCCTAGGAATTTTTTCCGTATTTTTTGCGTATAATTATAACCATTTTAAAGAGACATCAATGCACAACATGTGGAGAAATTCGCATCAACATATTGCATCAACTTTTTCCCGTGCGAATGGTTTGGGTTTTTACAACATCTCGATAACGAATAGTTGCCCAATATCGACCTTAGCAAAACTTTTAGGGCTAGTCAAGGTAAAACAATTTTGAAAATCTATCTTATTTTGACTTTTCTACCACTTGAAATGCGTGCGACTGTCCTGTTCGACTTCAGAGAAATGCCCATATGCATATCCATTTATTTATAACTATAATAACATACATATGCATTTTTATTAATTTAACTTTTATATTTAGCTTTTTTGTTGGTTTAATACTCAGGTAATTTTAGTTGAGCAATGTCTTTAAATAATTTAATAATTCATGTTATTAAAAAAAATATTTGTAGCTGAAGAAATGGTTTTTTTTTTCGCTTAGTCTAGTGCATTGTTAGGCACACACGCACGCACAGGTTTGCAGTGCGTATACAGCCAAACACTGTGATACACGTGTACGTGAGCGGCAGCGCAGCAGCAGCGCCTTTTCCTATGCACAATAGATAGGGCCGTGCCGAGCCCTAGTGTAGCCTAGTGTAACACTGATCTTTTGATTTAGCCAAGTAAAATCATAGTTTCTCAATCAAATCAGTTAAACTCTGCAATTTTTGCAACGTATTTTTGTACGAGTACGAAGTGTTATTAATGTAAGTCTTGTGTATGCTGGTCAATGTATTGGTTTTGGCATTAGTATAAGTATGTGTGCGTGTACTCTGTTAAGTGTTTATGAGATGTATGCAGGCACGGCGATCATCTGAAAAAATAACGAACCATACTTTGTAACGATGTATACCGATAGCTGAGTTTGCAGAGCTGGGAATCGCAGAAGATACAGACCCAACTTAATATACATACAAGCACGAAATTTCAATTTGTTAGAAGAAGGGTTTGGAAAGGAGTATCAATACATGTATTCATACAATAAAAATCAGGTAAATCTCTTTCATTCTCAAGCAGTCATTGTTCAAGAGTTCACCCTTAAGGTGTATTTTTGGGTCGTTGAAAGATCAGTTTAAGAATAGAATATATGTACATATGTATGTACCTAATAAATCGGATCCTTAGATATATTAGAGTATAAAAAAGGGAAAAGAAACTGTACAAAACATGTAAATACATATGTAGGAATCGAGACAAACAGATCGAACAAATTATCGAAATTTACCTGCTACAAGCTAACTAAATTCTATACGTTACATACATATGAACATAAGCATGTACAAAAAAACAATTTTTTGTTTTTCCGCCAACCATAATTTACTGTGGTAATTGCTCATTTATGGTTACGGGGGAAGCGGACGGGACGGCCCATCTTTCTCGCTTGCTTATGAGTACGTCATACATACATATGTTTTCGGTTTGAGTAGATGAGAGGAGCGTTTATATATATGTATTCGAGTGTTTTTGTACATATGTATGTATGGATGTGATATAGCAGGGACGAATCTTTACATTAAAGGTAGCTTTCTACCTGATAATTACCTTATCATCGTTATCAGACTCCTCATTGCTGCCTACTTCACTGCCATTCTCGGAGCCATCCTTGACAGAAACCTTTATGTTCTTTTCCTGTCGATCCATTGCGCTGCTACGATGACGCGTCTTCTTCCACGAGTAATAGTATTTCACCAAACTTGCGATTGATTTGTCTGGTAGCTTTTCAATAAGTTAAGGAGAAACTAGGTTAAGCTAACATCGGATCGCCCCAGAGATTCACGTACCATTTGACGTATGCGATGGAAGCTTTTCCCATGAAACTGAAACGCCTGCTCAAATAAGACTTTGTCCTCAATGGTCCACTCATCAGGAAATGGTGTAAAATTGGCCAAATCCATCACGGCCCGCTCCAAGTCGTGTTTGTGCCAAAACAGCATGCCCAAAGCCTGTTCACCGTTGTATCCGTACTTCTCCTTTGCCACTGAAATGTATTCCTCGACTGCATGTTGACGAGATTTCATATGAATAATTTAGTAGACAACAGAACATAAACAGCGAGTTCGGCATGACATTACACCACCTCATACAAAAGAACAAATTTATCAGTTTACCGAGTGAATATACAAATTCAGAGGTCAATCTGTCAAATTTAGATTCAAAGAAGCTTTGGATTGGGTATTGTAATGCCACCAAGCTTACTATGTAACGTACGTTTTAGGTCTGGTATCTCTTTTGTTGGCGACCAGACCAAGAGGGCGCGTTCATTCATTTGTTCAGGGCGGCGCTCCACTTCGGCGACGAGTGGGGGACAAACCGCCTGATAGTCGCGTCCAACGCGAATTTTTTCTGTGAGGAAGTATTTAGCATGAGAAGCGAACGATGAGCAAGCATCTGATTTACCTTCATACTCAGACTGCTTGGCCTTTGACTTGCCGTTGCGCTTTGTTGCTAGGATTTTGTGGGAGAGAAGAAGCAGTTCACTTTCTGAATTACTCACTCGTTGGGCTAACTTCATCTACTTACAGTTGTCGTCGTCTGAGCTCTCCGGCGTGCCCGCACCCGGTACGAGCGTTGAGGCCTTCTCATTGGATGTGGGATTTGTGGGGTTACCACCCCCAGCCCCACCACCACCGCTGACAACTATGTTTGCATTAGAGGCGACACCACCAGTTGTATTCGTGTTTGGGCTGGGTCCACGCGACCGACGTCCGTTTCGCACCACATCCGTGGTGTTGCGCTCAGCCAACACCATTTTGTCCCGTATGAGCTGGGCGCGTTTATTTACCTTCTCCAGTGTGCTAATTTAAATTAATATTGCCGTCTCAAAGAGAAATACAACGATCCCGAAAACTATGAGTAGAAAAAGAAAAAGCGAAGTGTTAATAGCATGCTTATGTATATTCATATATTCATATATATTATATTATATATTATTCATATATTACTCCTGGGGGAAAATAAAAATGTTAAACGGAAACTTCAACGTTTGCAACGCATTAATCGAGGGTGTGCGTACTTTGTCTAAAACAGCCGCAACATTGTTCTGGCAAACATACATGTATTAAACTATACGTGTGTGTATGGGTGAGAGCTCGCGCAAATGGCAAAGCTAGAAAAAGTTCAGATTCATTGGATTTAGGGAAAAATGTTTGTTTTCAACTATGCGAAATTTGTATTTTCCCGAGGGACCGATTTACCTTTCAGGCTGACCGACCGCAGCGTTCCACCCGGACAATTGAAAACCCGCGCTAGAGTGCTGCACAAAAGAAATGGACGCTCACTTTCGCTATCGCTTACGTATTTCTTTAATTTGTAGTCCCTTATCATAGAATGATACAATGCACAGACCCACAGACAATAACTGTGGTAAAATTTTTTATTTTTAAATTCGAGTCATTGGGACGCTCAACCAAACACGACAAAAACGGCTGGGTTGTTTCGCGCAGGTAACCGAAACCAAAACTGAAATGCGAAAAAAAAAACCGCTCGCGTACGTCTCTGGCGGATTTGATTTCAGCGCACTTTGACTCAAACAACCGTAGCGTAGCTTTGTCTGTCGCTAGATCTGGTTTAATGTTTAGCGTTGGTAATTTGTCTTGCGATTTTCGCGTAAAGCTCTACAATCCATGATTTGAAAATTTAGCATATCTTTAAATTTGAGTTTATTTAACAGAATAGACGGTAAAACTGCCGAAATGCCCGAATTTTTAAACTAAGGCTGAAAAAACCATGGTTGTAAGGGATACATTTACACTATCGATATAAACGTTTCGATGTATCAATTACGGATCCGCTGTTCAGGTTTATAGTAGTCGTATTCCAATACACGTCAAGACCAATCTAGTCTGAAAAAAACACTACGATAAATTGGTGTTGGTTTTGTTGTTTCAAAACACGCTAAGATGATTTATAATCAGCCAGGCTCCGGCTTTCACTACGTTCTACGTTTTCACCCAAAAGTCATACATTTCATTTCAAAGCGCTCTGACATTTGCAAAATTAAGGTTTATTTACAAATATTTCAGATTTCAATTTTTTCAGATCCAAATTTGAAGTTGGCTTAAATAAATTGAATTAAAATTTTGTATTGGCAAGGTAATGTGTCTGACTATCAGCAGCAGCAGATGGCGACGCCTCCCGTGCCGACCACCTTGAAGACAAAATGTTTTGAACACAATATTTGTTTTATATATATTAAAATTAATAAAAATAATATATTATAATATCCATTTAATTATCCTTCATATAATACTGCATTAACTAGATTCTATTTGTCTTCATTATTTAAATATTTCATTTGGTTTTTTGTTCTCATATTGTTTGCTTCGTGTTTGCTGGAAAAATATATCAAATTGATATAACTTTCGAGATTGGTAGAAACATACCAGCAATACAAGCAAATAATTTGGATATTTTTTTAGAATATACCGACCTTTTTTTGTTAATCTGAATACTGTCTTCCGTTCAGAGCCTAGAAAACAGTTTTGGCCCGAAAATATTTCTTATCGGTTTCATACGAATATCAACCCTGATTCTGTTCGCGAGGTGTTTTATCATAAGCCTAGTGTTCAGATATGCCTGGAGAAGAGCGAAGAGCCGAAGAAATGCATTTTATTAACTTTAAACAAAACCAAGCAGCTGTCTGAGCAGTGTAACCGTACGGAATGCAGTGCACACCTCTGGTCACACCACTGGCCGCTAGAAGAATATATGACATTTGTTTGCTAGAAAACAGTTTTTGAATCTGAGTATTAGGCTTAAAATTCTTTAAAAACTCAAGGTGGCTAGTGGATATTTAATATCGATATCATGTATTCTATCATTCATTCTATCGGCAGACTCGCCAGTTTTCCGCAAGGTGGCGACTACGGCGGGCGCAAATAGATTGACAAACGAGTGAATTTTTTTCTATCCACGAAGAAACAAGTGCAAATATTTTAAGCAACGAAATGGCTGCTAGATTCATACAGAAAATTGTAAGAATATGTGTAAATTTAATTGGACACTGTTCTAAGCTAATTTGATGGCGAAACATCGCATAGAAGTTTTTTCCTGGATCACCCCTTTGTACAACCCCACCTTGGGGCTAATAGGACCAACAATGATTACGTTCTTGTTATAATATCTATAAATAATGAAAATAAACTTATTTTATTTTTCGTTCGGATGGCGTTTCAAAAACATGTACTCAATACAACCACAAACCATTACGCAAAACATTTCCAGCTCAATCAATTGGGTTTCAGTGCTGCGCGTGATCCGGCAGCAGTGTCTGCGTCAACGATCTTAACTGAAACAACACTTAAAACTAAGGTTCGTTTATACAAAAGTGAATTCGAGCCAGAATCATTCCTATCTTCGCCCCATAATTCGCAAAATACTGTATACCTTAAATTTGCGAACTTGCAAACAAATTGCAAGAGCCCCCTTTACATAACAAGTTGCGAATCGTTCCTTCTCTTGTTGCGTGGTCGTGGTCGTAACTGGCTGGTGGGAGTTTTTAAACATTTGCGTAGATTGGGTTGCAATTAATAAGCACTTCAAATTGGAACAGTAAGCGTTATTTAGTTAGTATCCGTTTACCATTTGTGCTTAACACTGCCCTGCTGCTCTCTAACCTCAACCTTACGCTCTCTGCAGCAGCAGAGCTAGGGTAGAGGAAATATCCACGGGGATAGAGGCTGCAGCTGCCTTTGTGTTTGTTTCTTTGCAAGGTTTCTTATGTAATCTTTCTATGCATATGTGTATGTGTACTATGTTTTTATATGACTTCATTCTAAAAAAATTAAACACAGGTCTTTCATTCTTGTTTTTTTTTTTATAACCGTTCTTAGTTAAACCTCTAGCCACTAGCCAGTAAGTTCAAATTGCCTTTTCAGTCAATTTGTCCCGAATTTGTGCGAGCGCGCAAATGTACGATGCATTTAAAACGTTTTGTTGTTTGCAGGTCAACACAACTCCATCTGCCAGTCGTGCCTACTCATCTGGATCTAAAAAAGTCACACTGATACCCGGGGATGGCATTGGTCCTGAGATCTCCGCAGCCGTTCAAAAAATATTCACTGCGGCGAATGTGCCCATTGAATGGGAAGCCGTCGACGTGACCCCCGTTCGTGTAAGTATCACCTGTGTCTCATAAGACTACATATGTAACAAAATAAATGTGTTTTATTTAATAATGAAACCAATACTTCTGCAGCAGCAGGGCATAGGGTAGAGTGCGACACGAAGATGAATAGCGAGTACCCACGAGGATATAAAATAAATTATGGTTTTCAAACCCTTTATTCGAAGATTTTGGGGATATATTAGATTTGTGGTTTGTCTGTAACACTAAGAAGGAAGCGTTTTCTACCTCAAAAAGTATGTATGTATTTATGTACATATATTCTTAATTAGCATCAATAGCCGAGTAGATATAGCCATATCTGTCCATCCGTCCTGCCTGTCGCCTACTTCTCAAAGACTAAGAGCTAAACTCCTGTGATATCATACTGTTACTAGGAGAGTTCGTATGAGTTCTAATTTTTATAATAAAAATGTAATGGGATTCATGTTAAGATAGTTAAATATTTGCTCAGCCATTTTTTTTTAAAGTCACTGAATCTAACAGATTGAATATCACTGTTTCATCGGTAGTTGGCACACAAGCTTCTTTTAATTTTCTTGATGAAAATGAGACAATTTTGTCTAAATTTCTCTGGTATCATCTTCATCCTTTATATAACGTATCCGCAAATGCCTTCGGTAGTTAGTATGACACGGCCAGATAACAAAAAATGCGTGCGGTTGCTTTCAACTATTTCGACTGACTCAATTAAAAATAATAATTCGAGCAAAACGGAATTAGAAGAGTGTAGTTAGCTGTGCTTTTGGCTATGCATGTGAGAGCGTTACAGTTAGTTTTGCACATAGTCAATAACAAGAATACTATGAACATAAAAATAGTTGCTTAAACATTCAGTACAATGATGAACATACATACTATACATATGAATTGGAAATGTGAGAATATGATTGCAATGATATACAATATCACGATGCGTGGCTCAACACTTTACATTTTATTTTCGCTTATTTTGTCTTTTGGATGGTATTATTTGGTATTTTTATCCTTTATAATTCCAGTAGTCAGATCGGCTAAATTTTTTGTCGACCGAATCAGGGATGATATTCGTATGAAAACGATAAATCCTAGTACTCAGATCCAACAACTGTTTGCTAGCAAAAATATGTCATATATTCTTCTAGTGGACAGTGGTTTGACCAGAGGTGTGCACTGCTTTCCGTACGGTTACACTGCTGAGACAGTTGCTTGGTTTTGGTTAAAGTGAACAAAGTTAATGAAAGGCAATTCTTCGGCTGGGGTCGCTCCTCTCCAGGTATGTCCTGGGCTCCCCAATATCTTATTGCCAAAGGAATGGCTATCAGCAGCAGCAGATGACGACGCCTCCCGTGCAACCGCCGCCGACCACCGTGAAGAAAATATGTTTTGAAAAAAATATTGGTTTTATATTTATACAAATTAATAAAAATAATCAATTTTAATATACATACATATAATTGTCCTTCATATTGCTGCCTTAATACGATTCAATTTGTCTTCATTATTTAAATATTTCATTTGGTTTTTTGTTCTCATTTTTAAATGTTAACGTTTGTATTTGCTAGGGTACCTGGCGGAAGATAGAACATTGATATCTTTTTCGAGCTGCTAGCAACATACCAACGAATACCAGCAAATGCTATTGGCTGCTTTTCTAGTCTCTTTCAACCTTCCGTACAGAGCCTAAAAAACAGTGTGCCCAAAAAAATATCTTATCGGTTTGATACGAATATGCTTGTCACTTAAATGTTTTTGAGTGATAGTTTGCAATATGTGCTGTTGTACTGCGTCTTATGGGCGATTGTTGTTGCTCCAAATGTCTACACATATTGTACTACAAAAATTCGATTTGTTCGAAAACGTGTAGATTTGGAGTAAAATAATTAGTTTTTCACTAATCTGCACACTTTGGTTAATAACTACTCACTTAAAGCTCCTTGCAACTCTTTGCCATGCAAAAGTACTGATCCACAAAACACAACTAAATTCGCTATGGTCATTCTAAAACACACATAGACAAAATCCGTCACAATTGGACAGAAAAACATAACATCGACACAAATATTTGTAAACTATAGTTTTAAATACCTGGACAATCGTTTTCCATAACAATCCTTTTCACTTTTGTGTAAACTTTAGCCAAACAAGCAATCCAAGTTGTAAAATTTTATCCGCCAATTTCATAATTGTGGTACATAACACTACTTGACAAAATTGAACATTATCTTCCCGCTGTGGACTAAAATGAATTTTTTTGATAGATTTCCGGATTAAAAATTTTTTTTAAGTATAATGTTTTTTAATGGCTGAGTTTTTTTTTTCAGAGGTATGTAGTGCTTCTATGTTTCACATAACTTAAGTATATTTTATCTGGTTGCATAGAACTTTGCAGTTCCAAAAAGCTGAAAAATGCAGCTATAAATCTGACACAGACACTTTGTAGCTGCAGCTTAACGTCTGGAAGATATTTCAAATTTGATAATTTTTGTGCGGTATTTTTTCCCGAAGATTTGATATTTAAAACTCAGGAAAAGTCGAAAAAAATATTTCTTGGCATGAATTTTCAACCCTTACTCAAAATCGAGTTAAGGGGTGTATTAGATTTGTGGTAAAAGTGGATGTGTGCAACGCAGAGAAGGAAACGTTGCCGACCCCATAAAGTATATATATTCTTGATCAGCATCAATAGCCGAGTCGATTTAGCCATGTCAGTCCGTCCGTCTCGATGAGCGCCTGGATCTCAGAGACTATTAAAGCTAGAGCAATTTGGTTTCCAGACTCATTTGATATCACACTGCTACAAGTGTATTTCAAAATTTTCAAAATTTTTTTAAATTCTACAATTCTAAAAAATCATAAGCTTGAAAATGTATATACTGACTGAGTACGGGTATAAGGCTGCTTTTTCATTCGTAGATAATATATTTTCAAATCCATCATCTTTTAGTAGTTTTTGATTTTGGGGGCCATCAAATACGCCTTCTTTAACTTTTGCCAGCGACAGACGTGGAAAAACAGTTTTTAGGTAATTCATCGATTCACCTTCCTTATTCTGTGCTTTAACAAAATTTTTCATTAGTCCCAGCTTAATGTGTGATGGCGGTAAAATAACGTCTTCAAACTTCACTGCATTATGTATGTTTTAATTTTCCAATGTATTTTCCTCCCGTTTTAGCCAGAGTTTTCTTAAGTAATGCTCAGTTCTAGCTCTACTAAACCATAGGCACAGGAAGCAGCAGTATTTTGTGTAACCACCTTGCAATCCCGTTAACATGGATACGACTTTTAAGTCACACGCGACCTTCCATTTGTGTTCTTTATATTTTATATTTTCAAAAAATGTAGCCATATTTTTATATGTGTTTCCTTCATATTAACAGCATGGGCAATGAGAACAGACGGCTTTTGGTTTCCATTGTGTAACAAAACAGCCTTTAAAATTTCCTTACTGCTGTCAACAAATAACCTCTAATCTTTTGGGTCTTAAGCTTCACCCAGTTGCTTGAAGAGTTCAAGAATGTCGTGGCAAACGCACATATCATCCTTCGTCATATAAAATTGTGCGTGACCCAAATGACGCGTCTGGAAATGAGTTATTTTGACATCTTCCTTCAATATAAGGGCATCCTTAAAAAAGAAAGATCCAGTATCCTCAACAAATCGTTCAATTATTCCTCTGAAAGAGGCTTGCAATATTTATATTCTCCTGATTGGTCATTACATGAATCCATTGTTCCATGCGACGAAGACGACATCTATTTTTTGCGTTTTAGTATTTCCTCTAAAGGAGGAGCAGGTTGTTTCGGGTAGTCCCATTTCATGGATCATGGATTCCAGTAATTTTGAATGAACAAAAGTAACATTCAGAGGCGTGAATCTCTGGTTTTCTCCACAGAATTGGAGTAAAAGTAACTATCCACAACATTTACAACCCAAATGGATATGAACAGGTATTTTGTTTTCTGCAATCCCATTTTGGCAGTTGAACCAGCAACGTACCGGGCGGTATTTTCAGGTAAAATGAGTTTTGAGTCGTTTTGGTCAAATGGCTGCAACTTGGCAATTTATCCATCGATTCTTACAAACGATACCTTATGCCTAATTAATACGTCTATCTAAAACTATGCCAAGAAATATTTTTTTTCGACTCTTCCTGAGTTTTTAAAGTCAAAATTTCGGGAAAAAATATTGAAAAAAAATAATCAAATTTAAAGATGCTTAAGTTATGTGAAAAATAGAAACACTACCTTTGAAAAAAGACATTAAAAAAATACCAGATCTTATAAAATTCTGTAAACACGAGAAGGAACGTGTGAGTCGCTTCTGGGGACGCGACTCTACTTATACCCGTACTCAGTCTGTATATACATTTTTGAGCTAATGATTTTTTAGAATTAAAAAAAAAAAAAAATTTTACATTTTTTTGCTACATCTGTTATCTACATCTACATCTACAATGTATATTCCACATCTAACATGTAGATTGTACATGTACCATTTATATTCTACATCTCCTCAGCTAGGGGTTGCTCGCGCACTGAACGCGGCAGAGTGTGCGAGCGAGAAAGAGAATCAGTAGCGTCAGCAGCGCTGGAGAAGGAGAGGGAACCAACAGAAAATTCATTTCTTCATTCTGGCTATAATTATGATCCGATCTGATTCAGATTCGGCAATCTGGTAGATATGGTTATTTTCTACGATACTGCGTTTTTAGTTTTATCGTATCTTTAAAATTGTGCCTGCCACAGATTTTCGTCCTTTATGGGGGCGGAAGGGGGCGGGGCGAAATTTTGAAATACACTTGTAGCAGTGTGATATTACATGAGTCTGGAAACAAAATTTGGTTGCTCTAGCTCTTATAGTCTCTGAGATCTAGGCGCTCATCAAGACGGACAGACGGACAGACGGACGGACGGACAGACAGACATGGCTATATCGACTCGGCTATTGATGCTGATCAAGAATATATATACTTTATGGGGTCGGAAACGTTTCCCTCTCTGCGTTACACACATCCACTTTTACCAAAAATCTAATATACCCCTTAATTCTTTTTTGAGTACGGGTATAAAAACTAAACCTAAAAAATACCATAACTCGTTAAAAATTTGTAAATCCCGAAATCTCTCAGAAAAGGTAATTTTGGGCCACAGCGGAAATGTCGTGTCGACTAGTGTAATCAGCTGACTTTAACATCGCGTTGACAGAAAAGGGTTGCTCCACATGTTAAAATTAAATATTATTTTATTTTATATAATTAGGGTGTGTAGAAATTAAAAATCAACTATATATTAAATTACTTAACAAAAAAAATTGACTTTATCTGAATATTATTATTGCTAGGGCGACCAAATTTGGTTTCCAGACTCATGTGATATCACACTGCTACAAGTGTATTTCAAAATTTGGCTCGGCAGGCACAATTTTAAAGATACGATAAAACTAAAAACGCAGCATCGTAGAGAATTACCATATCTACCAGATTGCCGAATCTGAATCAGATCGGATCATAATTATAGCCAAAATGAAGAAATTAATTTTCATTCTCTTTCTCGCTCGCACACTCTGCCTCGTTCAGTGTGATAGCGTGGCCCACTAGCCCGCTAGCCCGCAGTGCCCGCTAGCGGAGAAGATGTATAATATAAATGGTACATGCATAATCTACATGTTAATGTAGAATATACATTGTAAATGTAGATAACAGATGTAGCAATGTAAAGCACACATATTTATATACTGACTAAGTACGGGTATAAGCAGAGTCGCGTCTCCAGAAGCGGCTCACACGTTCCTTCTCGTTTTATACCTGGTACTCATTTTAATAATTTATAAGGAGATAAAAAACATGTTGATTACATTTCTGTCCGGCAAATAGATATTTCTGCTTGCTTTAATACAAAATTTGAAAATTTTACAGATTCTTTTCGTCATGTCATGCCATGTCTGTCTGTCAGTCTCAGAGACTGTATGAGCTAGACCAACCAAATTTTGTTTCCGGACTCATGTGATATCCATGTGATGTCTGTGACATCCACAATTTTGAAGATACAAAAAAAACGGAAAATGCAGTATCGTAGAGAATGCCCATATATAACAGATTGCCGAATTTGGTACACGCTACTTATTCTCTTTCTCGCTCGCACACACTCTGCCCTATGCAGCGCGCGGAGAAGATGTAGAAGATGCGTAGCAGATGTAGAATCTACATTGTGTGTGTATAATCTACATTTTAGATGTATGTATAATCGAAATTTTATAAGTATGTATCAGATGTAGCAAAAAAATTAAAATTTTTTTTTAATTTTTCATAAGCTCGCAGATTTATATACTGACTTATTACGGGTTTAAAAGTAGAGTCGCGTCCACAGATACGACACACGTTTCTTCTCGCTTTTTTATTTTTCTACATAATTCTCTTTTAGCTCTACTATATGGGCAGTTCCTATCTGGCGTTACGTTACATTCGTACGACAAACTGTTGAAAAAAAAGAATAAAAAAGTAATCAAAGTTAATTTTCCAACTTATTTAATGTAAAAACTTTTCCTCTTTTTTTGTGAAAAATCCGCGGAGGCATCTGGCGAACGTTACTGGCGTGACGTTACATATTTCTATTGAAAGTTTTTTTCTAAGAATGTTTTTAAATCCATTCTTAACGAAAGTATAATAATTTAAAAGACATACAAATTTTTTTTAAATTTTACTTAGAATATATCAATTTTTATTGATTTATTATTTGAAGATAATAAAAAAATTAATTTTATATGAAATGGGTTATGAGTGTGAGTAATGGGCTATGAGTTAACACTAGAGAAACAAAGAATTATTGTAATATAATAGTATTATTTGAAAATGCAGTTTCAGCTGCTTTTATTTGCATTTCTTCGCTGCTTGACAAATAATGCATTTCATGTATGCCAGATATTTTCTTCACCTTCTCCCACTTTTCAGCTCGCCCAGTCGAAAATGCGTATATTTGTTTTGAAGAAATATATGTTAAATTAATTCCTGACAGATTATTTTTATCTGTAAAAAAATAGGCGCTGTCAAAAATAATATTCTTTGTTTTTGTAATCTGCCAAACATTTCGTTGTATGGTTGCCCCTACACCATCGATCGCACCTTTGCCGTGAGAGGTTGTAAAATAGTTCCACTCCAAAACCTTGCATTTGAATTCAGAAACAAAATCAGGTAAAGTTCGAGCTATAAACTTGTTTTTAAACTTGAGAGCTGCTTCCATCTGAGAATATATAAATATTTTGAAATTGTTCGTGTTCTGTTTTAATGATCTCCACAAGTTTTGTCAAAAAGCAACAAACATCGAACTTATTGTGGGTGGGTTTGTCACTCATTACAGCATACGATTTTACACCGCTCATTACCAAAGCAACGCAAGTAAAAATGGTAACCTGTCGATAGCTGAATTGAGCGCTCTGTATCTCATTTTGAAAAATTATTAATCTGTAATTCTCTGCAGAGCCAGGTCTTCTGCCCGAATATTTTTTTTAACAAAAAAGTGACGTTTATAAACGGGTAGCTGTGCATTTAGTTTGTACAGAAGATCGGATAGAGAACCTTCGGTGCTTGTCAGATCTATCCGGTCTTCCACTTGGCGCCTATGCTTCCATTTAAGGATTTCATCCATTAATGAATAGTATTTTAAGGGAACTAAATCACTTTTTACCTTCCTTGTAAAATTTCAACAATTACTCATCATACATTCTTCATTATCTATGCTGCAACAGACAGATTTCAGGAATGTTTCGAAATTTGTGGATATTGTTTGTACAATTTCTCCACTGCTTTCCAGCAGAAACGAAAAATTGGCATGATGCATACAGACGCACATATTATGTGGTATCTTGCATAAGAGTAGTACATATTTTGGTCGCAATTCGTAAAACACCGTCTTACTAACGTAGTTAGTGCCAATCTCCTTTTTGTAAAGTTCATATGACTCCTTAACAGTCAGCAACAAAAAGCGCTTGGCCATTATCACGCCATCGACAATTAAAGTGTCCTTCCGACCAGGAGCTTGTATACCAATATCGTGGCGCAAATGAAATTTTTTAACAAGTTCTTTTTCTTTTTTCGAACCCGAACTGATCATTCCAAAACATAATGAACCATATTTTTTATACAGTAAGTCAACAATATGTGCTCGTTTCTCCGGGTCGCCTTGCAAAGCAGTTTTGACTTTCTTGAAAGCTTTCCCAAACGTTTGCTTACAATTGTAGGGTTGACCAAGTGGGGGAACGACTGTTTCTGCAGGTTTATTCTTCTCCTTCAATCGGAATTGTTATACCCTCAAACGAGTTTGTTCTTTATCTATTCTTTTCTTTTGTCTAGTCTAGATAGTAATAAAAACTACTTACAATCTTTCGGGAAGTTACAAAATTTAGAAAATTGATATAAAATAGAGTACACGCTACAGTGTCCTCGCGATTTTTGTTGAAGTGTGTTTCTTAGTTGAAGCTTTATTAAGTCGCTAACTTTTATCCACTTCTCATCCACATCGCAGACACAAGAAGACTAGATGATATTTTTTTGGCATTACGTTACATTAGAACATCGCTCAAAAGCAAATCGAAATTTTACAGTTAATATATATTTGCTAGCTCTCTTTCATATTATTTTACGGTTATTAGTTATTGGAGCAACAGTTTTGCGAAAAGAGTGCAATTGAAGATGTTAAGATGTAATCTGTAAAGAGAATACGCACTGACAAATAAACAAAACAGCCCAAAGCATGAAGTTGGACTTTGAGGACCGGTATCTCGCAATCGGTTTGAAGGAGACCTTTGATCTATTTAAATTATTTAATTGAAAATATTTCTCTTTGCTATTACAAGTTAGAAAAAGCTTTTGGCTAAATTTAAAATTTTCGGTCGTTGTGGACCTTGTGGCGGAACTGCCCAGATATACTTTTTACCATAATTTCTCCAATTTTTTTTATCCCTTCATTATTGGACTGAAATCTTTTTCCGCCAATGCATTGTCCTGGTGGAAAATAAATTTTTTCTGATAAAATAACAATTTTTAAAAACTTAATTGTCTTAAAGCTTTTTTTAGAGGTAGGGCTTATTTTTTTCACATAACTTTGTTGTTTTTTTTTTTTTAATTCCAAATTTCAGAAAGTGAGCGGAACGTAAGTAGATGCTACAAAGTGTTCAGATCCACTTAATAGCAGCATTTATCAGCTTTTATGAATGGCAAAGTTCATTACAACCAGACGTAAGATACCTAAGTTATCTGAAAAAAGCGCTAAAAGCATGCTGTACAAAAAACGAGAAGGAACGTGTGAGTCGCTTCTGTGAACGCAATGTAAAATATTTTAAAATTCTACATAAATCATAATCATAACAGTAGAGTCTGTTATACCCGGGCTCAGTCAGTATATAAATATGTGAGCTTATGATATATGTAGAATTTTAAAATATTTTACATTGCTACATCTGTTATCTACATATCTTTTCTATATATATAAAAGAAAGTCGTGTTTGTTACAACACTTATAACTCGAGAACGGCTGGACCGATTGCCATGGTTTTTGATTTGTTGGATTTGTTTCCGTCCCGAATAGCAGAATACATCTTAAAAACAATGAAAACTCGATATGTGTAATGAATACTGAATCATTTGAATAGATGCTGATTTGTTTATTACATGTCAGACATTTGTTGTCCAATCCTGTCAAATAGTGTAACAACTATTTTTTTTTTTCTTTGGAGCTTATGGCCTGGTTTCTGAGACCTTTAAGCCACAACTTTATTTTTTTCTGAAGACATCATGTGTGCGTTCAGAAATTTTTTTTTTGTAAAATGTCTACAAAGTTCGGGTACTGTTATATTTGTTTGTTTTAGACATTAATTTTCGAAAATTATTTATTAATTATTTAATTTTTAATTCCCGAAAAATAATACCTAAGATTTATTCTACAGTAAAAACATAAAATCATCGGAAAGGAACGGAATTTAGGGAATAAAAAATCAGTTTGGTGGTTTTATGCGAATGCACATTTTAATAACAATGCCGCGACCTAGAAGCCGTAATGCAATTAGGCAACGGAATATCGTGAGTCAATTATCTGATGGAGAACGAGAAATTGCACGAGAACAGCGCAATGACTCGAGATGTTTTGGTGGTGCAATGATTTTATTATCTGGCGATTTCCGACAAACACTACCAGTCATTCCAAGATCTACTGCTGCCGACGAAATAAACGCTTGCCTCAAAGCATCAAATCTGTGGCGATATGTAAAGAAACTTCAACTGTCTGTAAATATGAGAGTTGCATTGTTGAACGATCTATCTGCTGATGATTTCTCGAAGCAATTGCTGACTATCGGTAATGGCCGTGTTCCTGTTGACAAATCGAGAGGTTTGATTTCATTTCCTCCAAATTTTTGGAATTTCGTATCATTAAAAGACGAGCTTATCAACAAAGTATTCCTTGATATCATTGCTAACCACAAAAATACTAAATGGTTAAGTGAGCGAGCAATTTTGGCCGCTAAAAATAAAGATGTAGATGACCTCAATTTTATAATTCAAAATCAAATCGTAGTTACTCTGTATTCATTCAAATCTATCGACTGTGTAACAAACGAAGAAGAAGCCACTAATTATCCAACTGAATTTTTAAACTCCTTGGATGTGCCTGGTTTACCACCGCACAATTTAAAACTTAAAGTTGGCTCGGTAGTCATCATGCTTAGAAATTTAAACCAACCAAAACTGTGTAATGGAACGCGTTTGGTGATAAGAAAACTGATGAGCAATGTGATTAACGCGTCGATACTTAAAGGAAAATTTAAAGATGAGGAAGTTCTTATTCCAAGGATTCCGATGATCCCAACGGATATGCCCTTTGAGTTTAAACGAATTCAATTCCCGATTCGTCTTGCCTTCGCCATGACGATCAACAAATCACAGGGCCAATCCTTGACTATTTGTGGCCTCAATCTAGAAAATGCATGTTTTTCTCATGGTCAATTGTACGTGGCATGCTCACGTGTCGGCAAACCATCCGCTTTATTTGTTCTTGCGCCTGACCAAAAAACAAAGAATGTCGTTTACCACAAAGTGCTTGAATGAAAATCCTATTAATGAATTAATCCGAGTTTTATTTTTTTTTCCCAATCTGCACAACATAGTTTTCAATAATTTTTTTCTGACATGAGTTTGAAGTACTTAATTATTATTTTTTATTTTTTTTAATTTTTATTCTCATTCTGTATGTATGTTTTCATCATCATTTATCATAATAAAATACTTTTTTGTTTCTATCTATATAAATATATTATTTTGTATCATTGTTTTACGTTCATCAAAGCCTAAATTAGTTCAGCTAAAAAGTAACACGACATTCATTGACTGTTAGGCGGTACGAAGTTTGCCGGGTCAGCTAGTACAATATATATAGTACATCTAACATGTAGATTATACATGTACTGTACCCTTTATATTATACATCACTGACATCATCTCACTGAACAAGGCAGGCAACAAGGTGTGCGAACGAGAAAGAGAATAAGTAGCGAGGTCTCGTGCTAGAGGAGGTGGGGGAAGCAACTGAAAATTCATTTCTTTATTCTGGCTATAATAATAATACGATCTGATTCAGATCTGATTACCATCCATTGAAGTATCAATGCAAAATTATGAGGGGTGGGTTTATAAACCCGTGCGGGAGGGGTTGATTTAGTGCGCTGTGCCCCCCTAGTACCTACATATATATATTAATTTTATTACATTCCTTTAAACGATTATGAACAGGGCCCAGATGGAAAATTCGGCATTCCACAAGCAGCCATCGATTCGGTGAATACGAACAAGATCGGCTTGAAGGGCCCACTAATGACGCCCGTTGGAAAAGGACATCGATCGCTTAACTTGGCCCTTCGCAAGGAGTTCAACCTCTATGCCAATGTGCGTCCCTGCCGCAGTCTTGAGGGCTATAAAACACTGTACGATGATGTTGACGTTGTTACTATCCGTGAAAACACCGAGGGCGAGTACTCAGGCATTGAACACGAGATCGTCGATGGCGTCGTTCAGAGCATCAAGCTGATCACCGAGGAGGCCTCTAAGCGCGTGGCTGAGTATGCCTTTCAATATGCCAAGAACAATAATCGGAAGAAGGTAACCGTCGTGCACAAGGCGAACATTATGTAAGTAGATCCTAACCGATATAATTCAATCATAGTATATATTTTGCAGCGTCAGCACTGACTGAATTATCGAATCTTATTTTCAGGCGCATGTCTGATGGTCTGTTTCTGCGATGTGTTCGTGATATGTCCCAGAAGTTCCCGGATATCCAGTTCGAGGAGCGATACTTGGACACCGTGTGCTTGAACATGGTCCAGAACCCAGGCAAATACGACGTACTGGTGAGTTGACACCTTTCAGTTCTAAGTGCTGGATTAATGCTCTTAGCTCCGTTTGCTTCCAGGTCATGCCCAATCTGTATGGTGATATTCTATCCGATATGTGCGCTGGTCTGGTTGGCGGTCTCGGCCTGACGCCATCTGGCAACATGGGCCTGAATGGCGCGCTCTTTGAGTCTGTGCATGGTACCGCTCCCGACATTGCCGGCAAGGATTTGGCCAACCCCACTGCCCTGCTTCTTTCGGCGGTCATGATGCTGCGGCACATGGAGCTTAACTCACACGCCGATAAGATCGAGCGCGCTGCTTTTGAAACCATCAAAGAGGGTAAATACTTGACCGGAGATCTCGGCGGTCGCGCCAAGTGCTCTGAGTTCACAAACGAGATCTGCGGTAAACTTTAGATTGCAGCCCGGAAAACCCGCCTCAAATTATAAAAACCTCAACAAAACCAGAAAAAGTCGCCGCAAAAATGTGCAGATGGGTGAAGATAGATCCAGTATGAAAAAAAGCTATTAAACACTCGCTCCCCAAACAAAAACAATGTGTTGTAAAAACGCATTCTTTTTACATAACTTGACCGCAGGTTTTTTATTTTCAACTTTCTCAAATTCAACCAAAATTTGCTCTCCCCAAGCAACAAAAAAAAAAAACAGATTAAAAAAATAGAATAGCTACCTAAAGTATTTTATGTTCGAATACTTGCGTATATTATTTCATTTATTTCCGACCATATTTGCAAACGTTAAAATTCGTTAGTTGCCCCCATTTTTATTGCGCTATGTCGTTTATTTGTGAATTTGTGAAGACGTGGAACCACCACCATTTAATTAATATGCAACAAGTTAAATCTAATTATTTATTGAAAATTGATTTGTTAAGCCTTGTTAAGTTAAACCTTCCATAATATCATTCAGAAAATTTCACCACAAAATAACAATGGAAGAGTAAAAGCAAATCAAGTTTAAAGTTGAAACGGTTACTATAATTTGATAAAAAAAAAAAAACAAAAAAAAAACAAGGGAAACGTATAAAAACGTGCAGAAAAACATACAAAAGCTATTGTATTAAGCAATTGTTATTGATAATAAAGCGAAATGTAATGCAAAAGCATCAAGCTATTGTTAAAAATAAATCAAATAAACCAAACTAAAACCCAACACCACCAGACACCATTACCAGTGAAATTAAGCTTGTGCCCTTTTTATAAATAATTTTAATTTGAGCCAACCTCAAAAATAGATCTGAAAACATTGGTCAGGGCAACAAAAAATACTAAATTTCTCCGAACAGTGAATGTGAAACAGTAAATATGTGACCAAATTTTGGTTTCAGGGGCCTGTGAGATCCTCAAAATAGCCAGGATGAAAAAATTCTTTTTCAATGGTTAACCCACAACTATTTTTCAACATATGATTCTTTTAGATCTATATGTGCAGTTCCGCCAAAAAGTCCACCAGGCCAAAAATCATGAAAAGTCAATAAAAACCGATTTCCATATAATTTTTTCGGGATATTATTTTTTAAATTTATTGAAAGCTAACTAATTTACTTTACAAATTGGAACTGCCCATATGCTCTTTTCAGCATTTCTCCCATTTTTGTATGCTTTTCAATAATTATGATTTTTCGAGGTCCCCAAAATAGGCATTTCTTGTGAGGTGACTTCATCATTGGACTGAAATTTCTTACCGCGGATCCATTTTTTCAGGTCTGGGGAGCAATTCGTAGCCTTATTCATGGATTCATGGATCGCAATGGAAACTGCACATGTCGTGCCATTGCATTGTTCTGGTGGAAAAATTTTTTTCTTGGCCAAATGCTGTCTTATCTTTTTCAAATCCTCATTAAATCGATGCAATTAGTTTGCATAATATTCGCTACTGTCTTTTTAACCCTTTTGAAGGTAATCAATGTAATTAATACCGCGTGCATTCCAAATCCATCGCCATGACTTTATTGGCTGAAAACCCAACCTTGGCCGTCTTTGTCCCAGAATCTCTCTGAGAAACGTTCTGTCTTGACTGCTTTGGTCTCTTGTGTGTTGTGTGTAAACAACGCCAAACACTCCTTTGAAGTTGTCACACCATTGGGTTTTTGGTCGATTTTCATCGATCTTGCAGAAAGCAGTACCATTTTTTGGTCAATATGCGAGGTACAGCCCTTTTCGAAATGCCTACACATTCAGCTAACTCAATAACTTTCAATCGCCGATCATCCAGTACATATTATTTAATTTTTGCCATCATTTCTGATGTGGTCACCTCATTTGGTCGTTCGCGCTTAAACTCTGCCAAGCAATATTTTATTGTAGTAAATGAAGAAGCAGAATCACCTTAGGTAGAATCCAGCTCGGCTTAAATTTTGGTTGCATTAAAGTTAGATGAAAGTATTGAATCACATAACGATGACCAATTTTGTCCATGTTTGAAAATCAATTTAGAGCCTTCTCTATTAAAATCGACCCAAAAAAAAATGCGCAAGGTAAAGGCACCAAACTTCATACCTCTGTAATTTTCGATGGTGGATCTTAAATCTTTTTTGTGAAGCGGAATGATGTAAGATTCGTTCCGAGACAAGAATTTTTCAAGGATAAGTTAAAAGTAAAGGTCAAGGGTTGACAAGGTGACGGCACAATGTTTTAAAATACAACTTGGAACTTTATCTGGACCCACAGAGAATGAAGTGTCTATCAATTTCAAACCGTCCAGAACAACGCTTTCCTCAAAAAAAGGTAGAAAAAAGCTGTTAGCATGAGGTATGTAGATGGTAAGGATACGGAGTGGAAGAGCTGTATACATATGTATATGAGACGAGTACGTAGATTGGAAAAAAAAAATGGAAAATAGATTTGCAATACCAGTAGCAGCGGAGGAATATTGTGCGAAGAGAGACATGGAGTCAGTTTTCTGCTACTTTTTAAAGATTCTGGATTTTCGATTTTTTCAGTAGGACAAATTACTGGAAAACCAGGGATGTTTGAACGATACTCATTTAGTAAAGTCAAGGACAAATGTGTCTAAGGCAGAGTTTATGGTGTTGTAAATCGAGTTGACTGCAACGTCAATATTTGGTGATTGCTGAAGAATAGACCAATCAACACTCGAGAGATGTAGGTTTAGATCGGTGAAATTGGTTTTGCGAAAAAATTTCAAGCGCCTTGGTGCCGTGGAAGTGTCAGCACAACTAGATCTAGAAGCAAGTCAAATAGATACATAGATACCGAAACAAAACGAACCTTGACTGCAATGAACAGACTGCGTACGTTCTGGTAATGAATGATAAAAAAGTTATTTAGTTTTTTTAATTACCGGGGCCAGTAAAATTGGGACTCTGGTTAGAGTCGTTTTGTAGGAATTCGTGCATAATTGTATACTCAGGCCATAGAGACGCGTCAAGTGAACTTGAATGGAAAGAATCGGGGAGAAGAATCTTAAAGGAGGTTATGTCTAAGTATGAATTTGGTCACAATTATATCATTAGGCGAGGCGTTAAGTCTAGAGCAAAGATGTTTAACATCCTCTGTTGTAGCCTCCGGTATAAGTCTGGAGACAAAGATAGCTTTATAAGGTACCACTGATCTTAGTTGAAGTTGAAGTCCCGAGCGAGAGGGAGAAGGTGGAGCCACTCCCAAAAGAGATCTCGGGGCAGAAACGACGGTAGCGTCAGTAACTGCGGATGGAACAGGAACGAACAGGAATAGTGAGGACATCATCAGCAACAAGCACACCCACATTGGGAGCACTCACAGGGGTGTCGACAGCAATGATGGATGTAGATGTAGTGTGAGAAACACCGGAGCGGCTGAAGGCGGATTTACTAACGGCGTGCCATGACCGCTCTGAGTAACAAATGATTCCGATGTTTGTAGGTGAGAAGCAGGCGTTCCAATACGAATATGTTGCTAAAGGTTGTTGTTATCGGTATTGAGGACTTTCCGTCTAGGAGATTCACTCAAGAGTTTGAGGATAAATTGCTTCCTTGCATCTTGAAAACCAGTACGAGTCTGTCTCATAAAAATGCGCAATTCGGCCTCAATCTCCCGGCAAACCAAACATGGCCAAGTCATCCGTTTTGAGATGAGATCGTGTAGTCGTCCAAAATTAGCACCACCAGCACATTTTTTATTGGCGACATTGTCGCATAGCCAGCAGCTGAGGAATGAATCGCCGACTATGTTGCCACCGAATTCGCATTTCTTTGCACTGCAGACCACAGCCATTTTTGACAGCAGTTGAATCACTGTGCACGAAGAAGAACGCAAAGTGGGAGCGAAAATAAATTACGCCATGATTTATTTCAATAGCTTGATGTCCCAGGAATATTGTAAAAATACCTTTCTGCGGGGATTCACAGAAATATGTCACAATAAAACACCACACATGAAGTGAAAATGATACTTCGAAAACATCAAATTTGTATTTGTTAGCAGAGGAATAGTTGTGAGTTCCCACACTTATAATGGAAATACTAGCTTACCATGAGACAAATCGATGACAGTTGTTGGCAGCTTTCATTATTCACTAGGAAAGAAAAATAGAGCTGGCTAACGATACCCTGTGGCCTAAAATACCCCGACCTCCCCTGTGTATTTACATTATTTGTATATTTACATCCGTTTGCCCATTTTTTTTATTACAAATTAAAAAATATTAGCATATATGAGCTATAAAAAATAAAAGTTCTTCTGATATTATGGGGCAAGCTTCTTCAAAAAGTGTCACAATTCTCAAAAATTCGAATGTGAAGGGTATGAGAACTTAGAGCGAAAAATCAAACACAAAATTCAAACAGCAAAACCTAAACAAAAACATACACGGAAAATCTATATACTGTATGGTTAGTGGTGAAGCTCACGAAAGCAGAGCCACCGAGAGAAAAATTCTCGGAGTCTCTGCTATCGTGAGCTTCAAAAAAAAATTTTTCGTTGGGTATGCTTTTAATCTTGACAAAATAAGCTACTAATAAAAAAAATTGTTCTAAGAATGCCAACAGTACGATTTTTTTTGTAAATGTTCCCCATTTTATATATCACAAGGAAATGTTTGTTTACTTGGTAAGTAATTCCAATTTTGGTACATGTAAAATTAAAAAATGTCAAAACAAGACCCGACTCTACTTATACCCGTATTCAGTCAGTATATACATTTTTGAGCTTATGTTTTAAATAGAATTTAAGCAAATTTCACATTTAAAATTTGTTTGCTACATATGTTATCTACATATACATCTACAATGTATATTCTACATCTTCTCCGCTGGCGGGCACTCCCGCATTCAACATGGCAGAGTGTGTGCGAGCGAGAAAGAGAATGAGTAACTGGTCTCTTGCTGAAGGAGGTGGCTGAAAATGAATTTCTTCATTCTGGCTATAATAATGATCCAAACTGTACCAGATTCCGCATTCTGATAGATTTGGTTACTCTACGATACTGCGTTATATAGTATCTTTAAACTTGGGCTGCCACAGATTTTCGTCTATTATGGTGGTGCGGGGCGAAATTTGGAAATACGTTTGTAGCAGTGTGATATGCATGGGTCTGGAAACAAAATTTGGTTGCTCTAGCTCTTTTAGTCTCTGAGATCTAAGCGCTCATCAACACGGAAAGACAGACAGACGGGCAGATGGGCTATATCGGCTACTACTCGGCTATTGATGCTGATCATGAATATAAAGCAAAGAAAGCTCCGGGCCACGATTTCTTTTTCCCTAAAATGATCAAAGAATTGCCGAGCTGTGCAGTATATTTCCCTACTGTGAAATTCAACAGCATGATGAAATGGGGCTATTATCCTCAAGTCATCAAGTCAACAAGTCCAAGCCATCATCATATAGACCTATCAGCCAACTGCCTATCAACTTGCCTATCAAAGATATTTAAAAAGCTGCTCCTGAATCGTATCAAACAACACATACACATCAGCGGTGCCATCCCGATGCACCAATTTGGATTTCGCGAAAAACATTGAACAAGTAAACCGTATAACCTCTGAGATACGAAATGCATTTTTGAAAGTATTGCTCCGCTGTTTTTCTGGATGTTGCCCAGGTTTTCGACCGCGTTTGCTTAGATGGCTTAATCCACAAAATCAAAATATTACTTCCACAGAAA